TATATATATATATATATATATATATATATATATATATATAGAGAGAGAGAGAGAGAGAGAGAGAGAGAGAGAGGGAGATTCTGTGGTGTAAATAAACTTTGGGTCGCCTAGTGGACGGATGTAGGGACTCGAAACCGCGTAGATCCGGATCCCTGAGTGTGATGGATGAATGAATCACTTTGTAATCATTAGATCTTCTGTTGTTCAAAAGTGTTCTGCATCCCATTATATTTAAAATTAACAAAGCGGGGTGGGGATGGGAGAGTGACTTACCACAAGGCATGCCCATGCGGCGCATCACTCTGCGGAAGAAGCCACGGGTTATATCGGCCAAATGCCTATGGTAAATGTGAAAAACGATCACGGTGGAATTTACTTGAAGTGATCTAGCCAGCCGTATTGGGTTGTGCTGTTATTGTCGCTGCTGCTGACGTTCTCTTCTTTTGGTGTGTACGCATTGCATCCGACCAGACAAGCATCAGCCAACGTTTTGTCATTCGGATGAGCACTGGAACACCAATCTTGGCAACCGCCTTGTGCATTTGATTTCAAAAATTTGGCAGAGCCTTTTCTACATCCACCCAAACATGCATCCTCGGAGGACAGCTACAGAACAAGGGTCCGGGGGAGAGAATGGAATGATAATGAGCACCTAAGGAACGGATCCGCCTCCCACCAACCCCTCACTGGTTCTCAATTTTGCAGTAGTTTCATCTCGTACAGCCGTTTACACTTGCATGCCTAATTAATACAAATATTTAGAAAGAACTACGACGATCACAGTCAAATAAGATAAATGAAAGAAAATTGAGCAATGAAGGTGAGCGCACCAAGGGTGGATTATGGAGTCAAGTTGAAGTACCAGTTTCCAGGAGTGAAAACTAGAACTCCACATATTAAAAACACAGATTCCGTGAAAGAAAATTTCTCAGCTTTCTCCTGTGGGTCACATACAAGACAAAGAAGAAAGACTAATTGGAAGCACAGAAATTGTGCTTGGTCAAAAGAGGAACGAGATTAGGTGTACGGCTTTGCAGCGGACGAAGCGTTCTGTGATTCACTGTATACTGTATGATCCGAGGAACGGGAATCCAGCCTCCAATAGATAACCTTTTACGTCGGCTGTTGAGAAGAACAAAACGTTAAAATCTCTCAAGATTTCTTCATTCGGTCTCGATGCTACAATCATCTTAGGCCACTACCGGGCGGATTATCGCGTTCATAGGGACGACACGCCTAACCTATCGGGGCCTTATGTGGCTCGCCGATCCAAGTCCCGGGGCTTAGGTTGCCGGTTTCCACCACTGAACAGCAGGTCATCGTGACTAAGGGTTTCGCCTCGTCTGTTGTTTATCACACAGTTGTGTAATAAAAAAAGCCGGTGAAATTCCGTTAAACTCAGGTGTTCGGAAGATCTGTTCTTTATCGTAGATGCCTTTCAACTTCAGCACAAATTGGGTAATAAATCATGCGCTATTTAATCACCAGTTATCATCATCATCACCATACAGCGAAATACAGGGAGGGAAACTTCACTGATCGCTGCAAAACTCGAAATGCGCGCAAAGGTGGTGGTAATATGTAAGGTGGACAGGGATTAAACCGATTTTGAGGGAGGGGGAAGGAGAACCTCTGTGGTCAACACACTACACAGTCTAACTGCTGATACTTTCAGGCATTCTGGCCTGATTAGAAATGTTAGAAGAACGCCACTGCTGTCGGTCCGCTGCCAAATCCTTCAGTCTCTAACCAACCAGTTGCAGTCTTTCGGACCCCAACCTGGTTGGTGGTGGTGGTGCAGTGGTTTAGTTGTTGTCACCAGCGTGCTTTGGACCTTATGATGTCGGGATTGTGCTAAGTGCCAAGGCTGAGCGCTCGCCTCTTGACTGGATTCCATTCAGTAGCTGATTGTGTGCCGTACGTCTCAACGGTTCAGTTCGAGTCAACAGCTACAGAACGAAGCGTCGATGCTTATTCGCCGTATCGGCGTATGCACCGAGCGATTGCAGTGCACCTGAGATGAAGGATGAATTCTACAAGGATCTTTCTCAACTACTCCAAAGTGCTCGGTCAACGGACGTCGTAGTAGTCGCCGGAGACTTCAATGCTCAAGTGGGATCCTTGAACAAATCAGAAAGGCTTCTTGGCGAACCAAATGCAATCCCAGTCAACCGGACGGACAACGGAGATCGCCTAATTCAACTCTGCACGGACAACGGATTGTTCCTGTCAAACACGAACTTTTCGCACAAGAAACGCCATCGACTCACATGGAAGCCGCCAACCTATTCACTGCGCTGGACCAAAATCGACCACATCGCCATCAGTTACCGCTGGAGGGGATCAACTCAAGACTGCTGCTCTTACTGGTCAACAGCTGTGGATACAGACCACGCCTTGTTACGAGCCAAGTTCTCCTTACGCCTGGCAAACAACCGCAAAATAGCCACCGACAACGGATACCCGCGATAGTGTCAGCGATCCATGCGAATCGGCCTTCGAAGTGGAGCTCTCCGATCGCCTGTCAGTTCAACCGCCAGCCGAAGGACTCAATGAACA